AAACCATGCTTTAAACAGGGTAAAACCAGTTACAGAAGAATTTTACACTACTGAAGGTTCTGGTGAGCACTGTTGGTGATAATAAGCATGTTGAAGACATGTTAACCCTAACCCATTTAAAGATAACTGAACAACATACAGACAAGCCTGTGAAATTCTGTGAGAATATAGTGTGGTCAGATGAGACCAAGATTCAAGTCTTTGAATGCCATATTACACGCCATGTTTGGAGGTCAAAAGGTACTGCATATCACCCCAAAAACACCAAACCAACAGTGAGGTTTTTGACTTGGGAGCATGATGGTGTGTGGCTGTTTTTCAGCATACGGCACTGGCGTGCTTCATATAACTGAAGAAAGGATGAATGGAAAAATGTACCGAGGCATTCTTGATAAAAATCTGCTGCCATCTAGCAGGATGATGAAGATGAAACTCGGGTGGATGTTTCAGCAAGACAATGATCTCAACCACACAGCCAGGGCAACTCTCCACCAACTGCGCTTAGAACTAAAGAAGCTTCTCAAATGAGAGGTGAAATGTCTTCAGAAAACTTAAAGAAGTCCAGACACGTGTTTCCGTTATTCACCTAAACAACATTCTTTTTCCTGTTGCACTGGGTCAGTAAAAACAATGGGTTGTGTAATAATTAACCAGTAAGAAAAAAAGAAAATCTACACTCTGCTGCACAAAATTCTGGATATATTATGTGTATGCACACTGTTGTACTAATCAGGAATCACTAGAAAAAGGCCTAGGGAGAAGTGTTGTATCACAAGTCAGAAATCAATGAGGAGAGAACATAATTTTTGAAGCAACAATTGCACACAAGACTACATGAACACATTTATATACCTCAGAGACAGAATAGGTTGTTTCCTCAAGCAACATGTGAATGTTTGTCAAATAAAAGCCCAACAAAGACTCCTCTTGGGTTGGGATAAAAAATACTAGCACATGACTTTACCCAAGGAGACTGTGGTTTGTATCCTGTGCATGACCGTCTTTTGATTGAAAGGTTCCAGCTATCTTTTGTTGTTGTTGATTATGGTAAATGGTAAATCTATCTATCTATCTATCTATCTATCTATCTATCTATCTATCTATCTATCTATCTATCTATCTATCTATCTATCTATCTATCTATCTATCTATC